TTGCTTATTCGGTCTTCTTTTCTATCGATCGTTACCCAACAAAACCCACGTAATAGACCAAAAAAAATCAACTAAATCGAATTTGATTATCCGTATTACATCAAAGCTTTAGAAGAGGCGATAAAGAACGGAGATGGAAAGGGAAAACAACCAATGTATATTCCCGAATAGTTAATTCGTGTTTGAAAAATGTTATTTTGGATATGGATAAAAACTTAAGATTCATATTTTAATTTGGACGTGGAATGTTTAATGTTTAACTTATATACTTATAGATAGATTTTTGGGTGTTTTGGATGTTTAATTTTTAGTGTTTAATTTGTTTCTTTAAAATATTTGTTATGAAATCATAAGCTACAAAAATCATACAAAATACCATATTTATAATCACATTGTAAATGTTATTTGTAAATGTTATTTCGGTTATTTGGGTTATTCGACTCCTTAATCATCTTGTACATGTTATTTGGGTTATTCGGGTCGGAACCGAACCGAACCGAATAATACCCGAATCGAACCGAACCCGTATTGTTTATTTGGTTCGGTTTTCGGTTCATACAGTTACCCTTATTCGGTTTTCGGTTTATTCGGGTTCGGTTCGCTTCCGACCCGAATAACATCCCTATTCAGAACAAACTCCATAATGATGTCCCAGATAATATACTAACTTGGGTAGCTCAATACTCAACATGACAGTCTATTAGCTAATATATTTTCCTGCCGGCGTGGAAGGGCCCATTTGCTTATGCATTATGTGTTTTTGCAAAGAAGTTGTTACAAACCCACAAAACGAAATGGAGAAAATATTTTTGAGATCAAAGAGTACAGATTCAATTTTAGGATGAAAGAAGTTTGTCTTATTACCGGTACTAGCATGGTAATTATTTCCTGGCTTCATAGAGTTTTGAGGTGTTTCCTTTGGTTAAAGCAAGCAACCCGGTCAAGTTGGAACATATAAATGACATATTTGATAAATCCTCATGAGTTGTCGGTTGCCTCGTTAGCATGTGAAAGAGTTCTTAAGCCTTATATCCAACTTTGAGGACTTCAACATGTATCATCTAGTTTACCAATTATTGTTACTTTTTAAATGTAATATCTAATTATTGTGAGGTAAATAATGATTTTATTTTTGTGCAAAGGTGCCCATGGGGCAAGATTACTTCGGGAAAAAAAGAAAACTAAAATGTGAATGTGGCTTAACTCCGTGGACTCTAATTTATATTTAAGGATATAAGTCAGTTTTGACTTTCATACCAAAACAACCTTCCATAGTACATACGGCTCGCAATAGGTCAACTTGGGTCGGGTTCAAGTTCAACCCATTTGTTAATTGGGTTGAAGAATCAACTCAATCCAACATGATTATTTAAAAGAGCTGATATTTCCAACACAATCCAACTTGTTGGATAAATGTATTGTCATTCGGTTGACTGGTTTATCTATATCTCAACCAAACCTATTAAATAAATTTGTTGAACCCGATTTAAACCATTTAAAATAAAAAATATAAATAAATTAACTAAAGATTATCATATCATCATCTATATATCTGTATTTATATCATATCATACTATACTTATAAAGAAAACATTTTTCCTTTCATCACATCAATTTAAAACTCCCAACTTTTCATATTTCCATATAATATACTTTCTAACTAAAATATGTTATTAATTATAAATATTGTGATAAATAAAAGACTTCTTGAATTATCAATAACTTCAATATAGTGTTAAATTCATATCCTAAATTAATATATCAAACAAACTTAAAAATATAGTGTAAAATGTAAAACCTAAAGTAAAATGTCAAATAAAGTTTTAAAAAAACTCATTGTATATTTTTTTACAAGAGTTAAAAGGAAAATATTAAATACAATAAACGTAAAAGAACATAATCTAAAAGTAAAGTTAACTAAAAGATCTCCAAAAACTATTTTTTATAATAACTGAAATTCAGTTAAGTTGTTTTTAAGTTAATTTATAATAATAATAATAGTTAAAATAACATAAAGTTATAAATTAAATTATGTTACATCACAAACAATGATTAATAATTTAAATAATCATCTTGATGAAATTAAAACGTCGTTTATTTTTTTAAAGTTAATAAATCATAACATTAGCTAATTAAAATAGATGACAAATATAACTAATTTTATACACATGTATACCATTCAATGATTATATTTTAGTAACTGTTATATTATCTATTGTTCAAATTAATTATAATGTTACATTAACTAAATATCTAAATGTAATAATAATTATTTTTTAGTTAATATAAATGACATAAATATTTTCAATGACATATGAATACTAAAGGTTAACTAAATAATTTTATTTCGCGCAACGTGCGGATATTCGCCTAGTAAACTTATAAAGGAAGCATTTTCCTTTCGTCACATTCATTTGAAACTCTCATATATTTTTCCTTTCACCACATTCATTTGAAACTCCCCTGACTTTTCAATTACTTTCTAATAATAATTATAAGTTGGTTAATAAGGTTAAATAAATATCAAACCACTACAAGAAACGGGGCCTATAGGGACGACATATGTCGTCTCTATAGGTTCAAAAGTCGTCCCTATAGGTGTCGGGGACGACATGTCGTCCCTATAGCTCTCGTCACCATAGGCCCGTCGCAATAGATCTTTTTAGTCGTCGCAATTGGTAGCCTTTACAGACGACATGTCCTCCTATTTTGGTCCGTCGCTATAAGTTGTTGGCCTCCATAGATAAAGCTATAGAGACGACATGTCGTCTCTATAGGTTCATCTATAAACACAACATGTCGCCTCCATAGATGCAGTTATAAAGACAATATGTCGTGGTGGTAGATGCCCAGATGTCGTCTTTGTAGATGCACCTATAGAAATGACATGTCGTCTCTATAGATGGACCTGTAGAGACGACATGTCGTCCCGATAGATGCAGTTGAAAAAAAATACATTATGTTTGGGATAATATGCTACAGACTCTTTCATGGCTCAATCAAATCAACCAAAGCACCGAGCTTCAAGAACATTTATTCTAGATAATGTTTGGGATAATCGTTCATTATGGCTATAGCTCTGGCCTCTACATCCTGAAACATTAGATATCAAGGAATTCTAAAAATCAAAATGATATTTATGGGACCTGAAGCCAAATGTTTAGTGATCTCTCCCCAGCAGCCCAGGCTTCTACTTTTCTAGTAGTTGTTTCCTATTACCAAAAGAAGGTTGTGAAAAAACAATGAAGCTTAAGGCGCAATGTAGCAAACCAAAAGAAACCTGCATTTGCTTCAATCTGCTTCAAAAGAGGTCTTGTTGACTCAGAAACTTGCATAACCAGCTTTTCGCATCTATGCTTACTTGCCTGATAAGAAATAAAGCATACAAGACTAGTTTTCTAACAAAAAGAAGGAACAAAATGTGTACATAGTGCCTTATTTATAGAAACAAGGTTGTGAACACATACCTGATATCGTTTTTGGAGGTCATCAATTTCTCTCCTTAACATATCTTCTCTATAAACTTCCTGCAAAGAGAAACTTTTAGTTTATTAACTACATGTAAAAATTGTTTTTTTTTTTTTTTAAATTAAGTATTAGAAACTTGGTAACGTTTGGAGATACATAAAGTTATACTAAAAAACCCTCCTATTAATGTGGACCAAATTAACTAAAGTATTTCAAGCAAAAACCTGTTGCTCCTTTCTGCACAAAGTTTGTCTTAATTCTTCCAGAGTTTGAATTACCAAATTAATCTCAATTTCCATGTCAAGATTAAGAACAAAAATTGTAAATTCATGGTTATTTAGTAACAAAATGCACACGACATTCATAATAAACCAAGAAAACACCAACCCAAAAAGACCATAAAAAAATTAAATGCAAGGTGTCAAGATATATACCACAGGGTTGTCTTCATTTCTAGCAAAACTGCAAAACGCTCAGCATAATCACATAATCTATACACGGAAAAAATGACACATCAAAATCATGTCTTTAGCATTATTACTA